AGATGACCACCATAAGGGAAACCTTCCCTCCACATCCTCGGTACCACGGGTATGCAGAAAGCATACCTCTTTACCGGGGTGTGCATAAACTTTAAAGAACTGGTCTTTAAAATTTTTAAATGACTTAGTATAAACCCGAAAAAGTCTATGACCCGGAACACCCGTGATGGTAACCCAACCCTTGCTTTCTGGTGGTTCACGATTGGTTCGACACAAAACAACTTGGAAAAAGTAGAAAAATACACGAACAGAAGGCTAAAGAGCAAGGTATGTACAAAAACGCTCAAATGCCTTAACAAAACCTAAGCCATTGGGATGAAGCTGGGTGGGTGATATATGTAGGTGATTGAGAATGTCCATTTGGAACTCGGTCAAAGGAAACCGAATTCCAAGTTGAGTCACGACATCACGATAGAAGAAAAAAAAACAAGGGTTTTCTTCTGCTCCCCCAGAGCAAACCGGCTCATCTTCTCGGGGAGGGGCTATATCGTAGTTATCCAATTGCCCAACGGGAACCCCGACCACATCATCTGCACTCATCTTGGATGTGGTATTTAAAACCTTGAAAGTTACCCACGGAAACTGGGATACTAACGAGGCAGAAGGAGACTCAAAACATGACTCAGCAGAGCTCGAATCATCAACAACTTCTTGAGGAGAAGATGCCATAAAACCTAAAACAAGGAAAAAGTTGGATCAGAAAGGAATCGGCAAACCTGAGCCAAAAGTGCTATCAGAAGAATCACTAGAAGAAGACGAAGTTGGAAAATCAGAGATCATGATGGGATCATCTACTCCACCAGATGCGGAGGTATATCCCAGTATATCTCCATGCCGGCAGCTCGCCAAAGTAGACTCGGCTAAAGAGTCACATCCTTGCTTGACAAGCTTAGAACTTAAGTAGACACAAGAGTAGCTTAGGACACTCCTAGGGGCAGGGGAAGGATGAGAGACAACCCGAATGGTGGAAAGAGAACTTGGAGGAGTCATAGGCTGGCTAATCGGCTCAGCCCCGGGTTGGGGAAACAGATGCGAAGCACGCCTGTTTGTTATAAGACGACCCCTAGCCCGCTTTGACGAACCTCTACCCCGGTGATGCCCTAACTCCCTATTGGACATCCCGGACTTTCTCCGAGATCTACCACCACAGCAAACGCGAAGCATAGCTTCTTGTTCTTCTTCTTCGGTCCTTGGAATCCCCCAGACCCAGAAGCGGGCACCAGAAGGAATCTTTGTGAAAATATCAGAATCCTCCTCCTTCTTCCCCTTACAACACAAAGCTGAAGAAGGAGGGTTTTCCCCCCTCATTTGGTTAAAAAACTAAAAAATACTAAGATAGCACAGGGGGGATGAGAAAGACAAGGTGACAAACACCAGAATGACAAGAAGGAATGCACAAGCTCTGGAAAGTGCAAACTATGGCAAAAATAACAGAAAATCAACATATGTAGGGAAAACAACTCAAAATTGAAAAAGAATCCTAGCGAACGAATGATCAAATGCAGGCAACTCAAAACAGAGGCAGCAAAAGGTAGAAGATAAGCGAAATACCAGACGAAAGAGATGAAATAGCAAGAGATGGAGAAATGCGTTTGACGCTGACACTCTAAAAATGCACAGGCACAATGCTCAGGAGGGAAACAAAAGCGCGTAATGTGAGATGGAGACTTATATAGGCATTGCTAGTGATCATGGGCTTTGCGAATGGCAAAGGTCAGGGTCACTAAGGTCTTTGCATAAGTAAATAGTAACTGCAACAATCATGGGATGTAACCACAATCATAATGGGTTGAAACCACAGCACGCAGAAAGCCAAGGGGGCAGGGTCATTACTGCCAATTCACTTCAAAAGCAATGATTAGACAACTGAAACAATGCTGCAATAAATGCGCACGAAACGCGAAAATGACATACAACGGCTGCTGCACGCTAAAATGATATATATAGGGGAAAGTGTTTGTCATTTTAAATGACATAAAGTTATATCATTTTAAGAAAGAGATAGACACAAAATAATATTTTTTATTTAAAATTTTAATTAAAAAAACCATCCACTTTGTCTCCCATGATTTCCATTCCTTGTGTCTATCTCTCTCCTAAAATGACATAACCTATGTCATTTAAAATGACAAACATCAAACTCATAATTCTCTTATTGTCTTTTTTTTTTTAGAACATAATTCTCATATTGTCATTTACTTGATTTTACCATCATTTGATTGAATCTGTATTTTGTATCAGATCCTTTAATGTTGGAGTTCAAATTCAAAAGTCCTCCAATATATATATGGGAAAAGTGTGTATCATTTTAAAGGATGTAAAGTTATGTCATTTCAAGTGAGATAAAGAGATAAATAAAGGAGGAGAGAGTGGACAAAAAATATAAAGATGTGGATCTCACCTCTTTGTGAGAGTGAAATGACATAAGTTGTGTCATTTATAAGGACAGACATTTTTCCCTAAACAAATCAAGTAATAACGAACTAGACATGAGAAAAAACAATTAATGGACAAAAACAACCTTACCCTCGACCAAAAAATTATAGGAACGAAACCAAACTACACTATCCTTGACTTTCCCCTATTCCACTAGAAATAGGATAGATTGGCCAAAATAGGGTTAAAAAAATATTTAAATTTTTTTCTTGAATAAAACTTATTTGTTTTGTCTAAGTAAAAATAATACACGGCAGCTGTAGGGACAGGCAGAAAGAAGAAGAAGAAGGAGTTACACGTAAAATGACCTACCTTAGTGAGACTAGAACATCTAAAGGTTCGCAATATTAGGGATAATGTCCAAATTGCAACACTTTTTGCAAAAAAATTACTTGAATGTCAGACTTTGCAGATATTTTTCCAGAATGATATGTCATCTAACTCGCTGCTACACCTAACGAGTTAAGTGTTGACACGTGGCAGAAGGTGCATGGCCACGTAAGTCGCTGAGCAGTGCAACGAGATTACGTGACATCAAACATGCATGTTTAGTCAGCTTCTGACACATGGCAATTCCAACACGTGACAAACGTGCTATATAGCATAGCATGTTAAGTGTGTATCATGAAATTAATTAATGCTCCTAAAAATAATTAATTAATAGTTATAAAATAATTTAAATTAATTGTTTTAGTTTAATTCAGTCTACATTAATTTAAATTATTTTATAATTATTAGGTAATTAGTTTTAGGAGTGTTAATTAATTTCATTTAATTTAGTTTCAGTTATATTAATTTTTTTGAATTGTTAAGTAATTTAATTTAATTAAGGAGTGTTAATGAATTAAATATAATTTATGTTTGTTAATTATTTTAGTTTAATTCAATTTAAATTATTTTATAAATATTAATTAATTATTTTTAGGAGCGTAAATTAATTTCATTTGATTTACTTTAGTCAAGTTAATTTTTTTTAAACAGTTGAGTAGAGGTGGCAAAGTGGGCGCGCCGCCCCACCCCGCCAAAAAATGAGCTAGCCCACCTCGCCCCGTTTGGTAGGTTGGCCCGCTGAGCCTAGCCTGTTTTGCCAGCTCTACCGTTAAGTAATGTCATTTAATTTAGGAGTGTTAATAAATTAAATGTAATTTATATTTGTTAATTATTTTAGTTTAATTTTATATTAATTTAAATTATTTTGTGACACACACGTAACATGCTATGCTATATAGCACGTTTGTCACTTGTCAAAATTGCCACATGTCAGAAACTGACTAAACATGTTATGTTGTATAGCATGTTTGATGTCATATAATTTCGCTGCACTGTGTTGCTGTTTACATAGCCATGCACCTTCTGTCACGTGTCAACACTTAACTCTCAGGTGTTGTAGCAAGTTAGATGACGTATATTGAGAGAAAAAAAAATTAAAGTGTGGCATTCAGATAATTTTTTATAAAAAAGTGTGACACTTTTGGTCGTTGTCGCACAACTTAGATGAGATACATTTTTGTTTTTTGTTTTTTTTTAAGGGACTGCCAGGTGAATGAGGGCAACAATTGCTATTATCACCCTAACTCTTTAAATTTTTAATTTTTTTTCAAAAGTGGTGTTAGGTAGACCACTGTCTCTCTACAATCCATCCACGTGGAAACTAATTTTCTTAAGTTTCTTTTCTTTCCATTTATTTTTAACTCACAATCAAACAGCCTATTGAAGTGTTGCGTAGCAAAATTGAAATTGAAAACCACCCCTGCCAAAATTGAAAACCACACCAATCGAATTGCATTTTTTAACTCATTAATCTCATCTCGTAACACAAGAATAATAGCTAGAGAAGATACTAAAGGGCATCTTCCACCTGCACCATAATAAAGCCTGAAAACTCTTCCTTTCTCACTTTGAAATCTTTTTATTTTGTTTTTGCTTTGCTGCTCATTTTCTCTCTTAATAAGAAGGGAAAAGCTAACATCATGTTACTGTCAAATTTTGTTTCCTCCTACTCTCATATCGTTTTCCGTGCTAACTTTTTTGTTTATTTTTTTTTTCTAATATTTGATGGGCCCTACAAAAACATATCTCTATGACATGATGTATTCATTTTGCTGTTACATAACATTCACAAAACCCTAATAAGAAACACTAAAGACCACCGCAATTTTTTCTTTCAACCACATGAAAACACCTCAGAAGAGGGCTATTCCACCTAACGCCTTATATAAAGGGAAGAGACGTTAGGTGGGGCAGCAAACGTCCTAGCCAAACAATGTAAATAAGTTCTGAAAATATTTTTTCCAGTAACAAATTTTTCAAACCTTATTTTGGTCAACCTGATTGGAAAACAGTTTCCCTTAAAAGTTGTATTCTCTTTTCATCTATTTTAGAACTCCCAATCAAGCAGCTAATTAAAGTGTTGCGTAGCAAATGTAAGCAAGGAAAGCAGTATCCATACGCATTGATCATTACCCCTCCCCCCAAAACTCATCCATGTTCTAACGGAAACATGAATGGAACCCAATGTTAAATGCCAACTCGTATCCAATGAGTAATGAAGAGAAGGTTGACAATGAATTATCAAATAAACTCTCATACAAGAACCAAATCATTACAACCAACATATTCAACTATTACTTACAATTTCAAGATTGTCCACAAGTACACGAGGATTGATAGTCTGATAGGTAAACAGAAAACATAAATAGTCAACAAGAAAAGCTAGCAACTATATAGCATGCATAAAACCCACATGGCATGTCTTTCACTGAGATTTAAAAAGCTTAACAAATCATTCAAATGCCCATTGGTTTTCCCGGCGAACTTCCTCCTCTTCCTCAGCGGTGAAGTCATTCTTAATGTTGAAGGTCTTGCGAATTTCTTCTGGTGTCTTCCCCTTGATCATGTCTGCTACAGTCTGGCAAGTAAGGTCCAAAAGGCTCTTGATGTTCAAGTAGTTTGCAGCCTGAAAACGAAAATTTCAGAACACAACGCAATGGCACAGAGCATTAACATGATAAAAACAGTTGATGTGACATTAAAATGCACAAATATTCTAGACATTGAGACAGTAAATGTCCATTGCAATTCTATGAATTGAACGCAAATTGGAAACAGACATCAAATCAAATGGAATACACTATCACGCCATAGGATGCAAACTGGAAGAGACCGCCAAGACCAAAGCTATCATCATGGACAATTCTAATGTAATCATATGAAATGCACTCCTGCGTATTAAAGACATACAGCAAAATATCCAATGATCAATGATTAATAAGGGACAGAGATGCAGAATTCACATAAACACCAATTTCATGAAATATACACGACAAAATAAAAAGAAGCCATGACTCGCTACACACACACACACACACACAAAACATAGAGAGAGAGAGAGAGAGAGAGAGAGGGAGAGAGACCTAACACACAGATTCATAATCAACCAATGATAAAATTCCTCTAAATTGAATTTATTCCTAAAGTAAACAAGTAGGAGTATATATATCCTTAAATTTAAGTAGATACATTTAAATAAATAAAAAAGACCCTTACTGCAATATAGAGAATACATCCATGCAACACAACACGTATGCCAAAAACAAGACTCACATTCAGAAATCAATAATAGAGCAAAAGAAACAAAATAACCCTCCAAATAACAAAATATAGCACAATTTCCTTGATTTAGATCCTCTGGTATTACTTGCTAAAACGATAATGTTATGTTATGAGAAAGAAAGACACAAGAGCGAAATTAATGGACCCTACAACCTGCACAAATTATGATGAAACCTCTTGTGTCTTTCTCAGCCCTAAGAAGTTCAATCCAAATACGCAATTTCAGTAACGGTTAAAACATCACGGCTTCATAAGAAGTAATGCACCCCCCCCCCCAAAAAAAAAAAAAAAACATTAAATAATAGTAACAAAACAAATAACCCTAAAATCCCCAATCTCAAAAGAAACCCTAATCCCCAATCACCACAGCACCAACAGTCAAACTCAAAACAAAGAAATTAACACGAAGAGGAAACAGAAACCGAAATTAAAACTCACCAGAATGAGATCGAAGAGCGTGGCCTGATCAACCTTGACGAACTCAGCGTCCCAGGCCTTGAGATCCTCATCGGAGGGCTTCTCGTCGGAACTCGCAGCCTCAACGTGCTTCTTACAGTACTCGATAACCTTGGCAAGGATCTTGCTGGTAACGTTGGGAAGCGGGATGCCGCTATCGGCGCAATCGTCCTCGATCATGTGCTTGATGGTCTGCGACTCCAACGCCACCGCCTCGTCTACCTCGAAGGCCTCGCCATCGGAACTCTTCAAAGTGATCTTCTTCGTTGACGCCATACTTGAATTTCACAACGGAAAGAAGGAAAATCCCTAACCCTAATTTTCCGATACGACTTTGTTTTATGATGCGAGTGATATTACGAATTATGAAAAAAGAAGGGGTGCGTGTGACTCCTTTATTTATAGTGCTACTAGATCCACTCCGGTGTGAAAGTAGCACGATCGGGTTTTTTTTTGGGCTTGGATATTTTTTATTCAATATTTATTTATTGAATACTTAATATAATTATTATTTTCAAATGTGATTGTAATTAATTATAGGGTTTTATTAATCTCCTTTCACATAAGATAGTTATCTTACGTGGTAGAGAGAAAATGAGTGGGTCCCACCATTGTAAGAAAAAAGAAAAAGAAGAAAAAAGTAGGATGTGAAAATCGAAGTGAGAGAAAATGAGATAAGTTACCTTATGTGAAAGGAGAGTAATATTTTCATCTCCTTTTCCTTAATTATATACTTCTATTTTTTATTTATATTGATAGTTTAGTTATATATTATTTCTAAATTATATATATTCTTTCTGTTATTATTATTAGATATTATATTCATCTATAATAATTTATTGATGCTTCATAAATAATGCGTCTATACATATTAAGAATATTCTATTATGGGAATTTAAAAAAAAAAAAAAACTTTTAGACATTTTTTTGTCAAAAGGCAAAATTTTCTGTGCTTGACTGTTAAGATAAAAATAAAACTTTTTATGTGTAGAATTAATCAAAATGACATGTATTTTTATTTTTTTACATAACAGTACTTGGTTGAAAATAAATTATAACTTTAAGAATTTATTAGGATGGTCTTTTAAAATAATAACTTTCATATATATTTTTAGAAGAAATTTTTTAAATAATTAAAAATATTTTGCATTTGAATGTTATATTTGAAAGCATTTTATATAAGTAAATTGTTTAGATGTTAAAAGATTAGGGAGTGTGAAATTCTGGAGCCAGACAAGTGCTATGATCCGAGTAGAAATATTAGAGAAAAACACAGAAAGTATCATGAATTAACTATTTCTATTTTTAATGGATATTTGGTAATGTATCTTGAAATAATGGTAAGATTGTTCTTTAGGATTGAAAAGTAACGGATTCCAATCTGAAAATGGTTTATCTGCAAAAGTATAAAAATAATACTGCATATAAGCAATCTTCATTCCTATCCTCACAAATTGAGAAATCTTATATACAGGATTCGTTACCGTAAACAAATCCTAAAATAATATGGTTTAAAAATGATATCTAATCTAATATGATTAGCTGGGCATGATATTGGTGCGTGACTAGTTGCACTATCCTGATCATTGCAATTTTATGATGAGTTGTGAATTGGAGCACAATATCAATTACCTAAATCAAATGATATTAAATATTTAAATTCTTCAACCGGAAAAGAAATGAGAATTATTTACTGTATTAATTATTATTTAATTAAATGAATTTAATACTAATTTCAAAAATAATAATAGTTTGTTATTTACTATCATAGTTATTATTTATCATGGTAATTAATATATGGATTAAGTTAGGAGGTGTATTGGATTGAGATTTCAAAATATTTTAATGGATTATTTTTGGACAAAAAAATCAATTGGTTCAATTAGGATTTTAATAGATTGAAAAAAAGTCATGTGGTATTCGATTAGGATTTTAAAATATTATTTTAGAATCCGTCCAAATACGTTGGTATTCAATCAAGATTTTAAACAATGAAAAAATAATCTTGTGGTATTCAAAAAATCTAACGATTTTAACGGATTTCTTAAGATTTCTTGAGATTTCTCTATTGCAGTGTTTTCTTTTTCCTTTGGCGGGTTGACCCGCTTGAAATCGGATTACGTCATGTGAGCTTCGTCAAAACTTAAAATAACATATTTTTTAGCGATTTTCCTTACAAAACAACCCAGAAACAACAAACCAACGAGATTTTAATATAATCTATCGCAAAAACAGCATAATTTTTAGTCATTTTTTGAGAAATTTTGGAAGTTTAAAAAATAATTTTTCAAGCCATGGGTAGCTATTTTTCTTGGCACAAAAGGTGTGATTTTTATATTAAAAAAATAAAATAGTGAAAAATAACATGGGAACTAAAATCCTCAAACCAATTTTTGTTTTACATCAATGAAACAAGGAGAAGGATATTGTGACAACCAAGTTGTGTTAATACCAAGTGACTACCAATTAATCTCACCGTTAGATCGATTATGTTGATCCAACGGTTATATTTATTTCCATCTTTGTATGGTTATGATTTCCCATATTTAAAGTGAAAGCATTAAATATGAGAAATCATAACCATACAAAGGTGAAAATAAATATAATGTATTAAATTTGGGAAACATTGACCAAACAAAGATGGAAATAAATATAACCGTTGGATCAACATAATCGATCTAACGGTGAGATTAATTGGTAGTCACTTGGTAGTAACACAACTTGGTTGTCACAATATCTTTCCCATGAAACAATATCAATTTAAAAAAGATTGAAACTTTCATAATATGAACCAGTGTTAATAAAACCAGACCGACCCGGCCGGGTCGACCTGGGAACCAGTAATATAATCGGTTCGGTTGAAGCAACGGATCAGCCATGCATCAGAACCGATGCGACCCGACCGATTTTCATGAAAACTAGTGACGCGATCGGTTAACCGGTGACCCGGTCCGGTCCAAAAAAAAAATCCAAAATTGTTTTTTTTAAAAAAAAAAAATCATAATGGACATATTTGAATATTTTTTTTACTTATTGACTTATATAAGTTATGTACCTACAACACTAATATTATCTCAATTATGCAGAAAATTTTGATTAGATTTATATTTAGAGATGTTATTTTTTGAACCTAAAGCCTCGTATCACGATCATTATATTTTTGTTTGATCCTTTATTGGATAGTAATATGTGATTTATTATTTTTATATTAAAATATTTGAATTTTTTTATCATTTTTTAAAATATTTAAGTTTGTTTATAATTTTTAATATAAATTATAAAATTGCATATAATTACCGAGTCATGTGGTTGAACCAGTGACCCACTGGTTGAACCAATGACCCATTGACCCAGTACCTCGACCGGGTCAATGATCGGTCCGGTTTTAATAATATTGATATGAACCTTATATTTCGTAACAATACATTTATGAACGAAATTTCTTCACTATATAAAACAATTTCAAATAATATTTGTGTCAATAGATAACTAAAAACTTATTTTTCAAATGCCCCAAAGCAAATTAAGGTTTCAATGTATCGATTGAAAAAAATTTGAGAAAATTTCTAAACTTTCATATAATAAAACCTGAAAATTCAGATTCAAAATTTTCTTAGAATATTCAATGAGAATATGCATATGATATATGGTTAGAAAACTCTTATCATGTAGAATAAAAACCCCAAAGTTTTCAAGATCAATTGCAAAAATTTCCAAACAAGATTTTATCATGAACTTTAGGTTCTATATGCCAATTTAGAATTATTTTAATAATTAAAAAATTGGGTCTTATAATCATATATGCATAGTTTTAATACCAAATGAAGAAGATAATTTTCAACCATTGGTCAAAGTCAAACCCAATAGCAGAAACGAAAAAATGTTAATGCGTGGATGACTAGTATAACTTTAGATATGAGAAGAGCCGTTGCTTAGTAATTTTGAATATTTGTGAAAAATTATATTATGTTTTAGGGTTTACTTTAGAAAATTATATTAGGTTTTACTTTTTTTATTAATTTCATTGCATTTCTTTGTTATTTTTTTTATTGAATCTTGTAATTTTTTTTTTTTGGAGGTTTGAATCTTGTAATTTTAAATGTTTGTTAAAAATTCATATGATTTTTTAAAATCTTATAAATCCATATTGTCCTTTCAAATCTTATAAATTCTATTAAAATCCTTTAAAATCCAACTTATGAAATCTTAATTGTAAAAAAAGTCTTTAAAGTCCCTACAATTTAAATAGTCTTTTAAAATCTATAAGAATTTTTATCTCGAAAAAATCTTTTAAAATCCTAATCTAATACACCCCCTTAGTCTCATATAATATAGTAGGAGAAAGAAAGTTTCTCCCACATTCCGGTATTCGTACTAGTCTTTTTTCAATTTTCTTTTCTTTTCTTTTTTTAAAAATCAATGGAACCACACGTGTTGTATCTATTAGAAGGTTAAGGGCGTTTGGTGTGAGAGATATTTTTTTTTACCGAAATAAAAGATTGTTGGGGATTTGGTAGGAATTTTTTTATCCCGAGTAAGTTACGAAATAGCGTTTGGTTGGCCAAAATTTTGCAGGAAAAGTTGGCTTAATTTTACTGATGTTATGTTTGGTTGATGGTAAAATATTGATGGGAATGTGAATCGAAATTATCAAAATATCCATCTTTTTACACATACGATCATATAGTCGAGCAAGGTATTTTTGTCTCAAAAGGTTATACTTAGAATCCAAGAGAATGGAAAAAAAAAATATCATGACCTAGGTGGAATAATTTTTCAGCTTTGTGTATTTCAAAAGGAAAATGCTGAAAAAAAAAAATTACTAGCATTTTGTTCACATGCATCGTACCAAATATGGTAAATAAATATTTCCCACCCCACTTTCCGATAATTGCAACTAAAATACTCATATCAAATAGACAAACACTCCCTAATATACATGAAATAAGGGAATGTGAGTGAAAGATGGAGTAAAACTAAGCTATACTAATCTGCTGCCGCGGTCTTGTTGGCTCCATAAGCGAGAACCACTAAATTAATTTCATAAATAGTTTTCAAACTATCATATGTTGATAAATTATTCTTTAAAACTATTACCCAAACAAAAATATTCTTTGAAACAAATAATTTGGAGAGAGAAAAACCTGATTCTTATTGGTCTAAAAGCATAATTCTTATTTGCGGTACGATATTTTAGAACCCCTATAAATTAAAAAACATGAAAATTAATGTCGTATTTTAGAACCCCTATATATTTTAGAACCACTAAATTAATGTCGTGTTTATGTTGATATAATTAAATTAAGGAAAAAATATTTGTCCTTTTAAAGAATATAAAAATATGTTATTTTAACAAAA